AGGAGGGGGGGGGGGACAGAAGAGTGATTCAAAGACGAAGGTAGAAAAAGGTGAGGTGAGTACTGTGGAAGTAGTCGAATATAGCATACAATGGGGTGAGAGTAGTTTGAAGTCAGAAGTCAACTGCCGGTTAATAGACTTTTTTGCCGTATGAATATACGTTGCCCAGGGTGCACCACGTGGAGGTAAGTCTATCGCACACCCCTTTGTCACGAATATAATCAAAACAAAAATTCATCGTCCTAGATAATGGACAGACGACTTAGTTTTTGGAGTGTATGAGAGGGAAATATTTTGATCGGGAGTTTGCTTATCTGTCCAAATTGGGGCTATACTATCGGTATTCGTATTTCTGAATTTGGTCATTAGAGGAGTTTCGGAACGTGAGTTCCTTTCAGGTAGATTCCAACATACTTTCCTGTGCCCAAGATAAGGACAGCATCTACTAAATCTCGTAGAATCACACTGAAGAGTTTAAACGGCCTCGAATTGCATTTGGAACCGAACCTCCGAACAACTTCAACTTAGCCATTTGTGTGTTGATGATTATCTTGCTAGTAAATGCTTCAATTTAGTTGGTTTCTCCCTGGAGAGAACATGCGTTAAGTGGGATACACGACTGGTTAAATCAATGTATTCATTATTAACAGTGATTTGCGGATTAGATCTCAGCTTGTTCTCCTCTACTCACCTAGTTAATACTAGCAGGATGATTAATCGATATTTGTAATTTTAACGCTGTTTCAAGTTGAAAATAAAAATTATGTTTGTATCCAACTAAGCACTCCTCGTCACTATTGATAATGATGATGGCGATGGAGAAATGGAATATTTTGAGCGGTTGAGAAGCAGACTGCTACTATCGCGCGAAATTCTAGAAGTTGCGACGATCTTAGGTGTTATTTCAGTATGCTTTCTCGTGCTTTTTAGTTCACTACTTTCATGCTTTTAGGCTCATCGATGGGCCAGTGTCGGTTACTTGGCTTTTGACACATCTGGATCACTTTTATGCACCGCTTGCACACAAGGTCACGCCTTCCATGTTTTCCGCATATCTAACCATCCACGGGATCCTCGCGAAACCGCTGTTCACCATCTCTACACCCTCAACCGGGGTTCTACACCATGCGAGGTAGGTTTTTCCTTTCGATTAATGATTCCATGCCAATGTGAAGTTCTCACAGCAGCAGCTCCGAAATTCCTCCTTCACATAAGTCTCGCGTTTTTGCACTTCCCTTTAGGGGCTTGGGGAAGTTGAGTAGGATTGTGGTGCTTCTTCTTCTTCCTCTTCTTCTTCTCTTTAGTCTATTGGGATCAAGTTGTTGGGGTAGCTCAAGTGCTCTTGGCTTTTCAATAATTGGCGTGACAATCGTAGATTAATCCGCATAATTCAGCAATGTCTATTGAAACAAACTCATATTGGTGGGAATGCGTGTTGCTCGTGGGAACTGGTGCAATTTAAAAGGAAGCCTATGAAATTCACAAACACTTCTGAAACCTACGTTTCAATTCATTTCATTCCAAAAGTGAATATTGTGCACCTCAAAATGTGCCAATTTCACCATGACTCTTCAGGTATTTTCTACCTTAGTTATTATCCAACGCTGAAATTGAGGGTAAAACTATGAAGCTAATATGTATACATAATCATTTGGAACATTGAACTGAGTTTGGGGTATGTTTTCTTCTCCTCAATTGTCAAAGGTGGTTGACGCTTGCTTCGCTCCGGACTCCCGTTGGTTGGCAGTGAGTAGCAACCACGGTACCACCCATGTCTTTCCAATCACTCCTTACGGCGGTCCCATCACCGTGCGAACCCACACTCGCTCGAGGGTTGTGAATCGGACCTCTCGATACCATCGATCCTCAGGTCTGGAGGAGCATCACTTGACTCGACCTCAACTCTCGCGGTGTGCTGAACCAAATACCACTGTCTCCTCTGCTCCAACAGTGGTGTCAAATTCCTCGTTGACCTCGCCGAATCCATTGTCTGGTGGCGTATCGGCGACCTCAACATCGGTTGGAGGTGATGTGAACAGGATCTCGGGATGCAGAGCAGCGGCGACGGCTGGGGCTCTGGGATTTGTTGATCCTTCTCCGATATGTCGGGGAAGATTTGTCAGTGGAGATGGCGGATTGAGCCCGAGAGACTCACCAACTAAAGGTGTGTATCTTGTTATTGTTATAGTTATTGTATGCAACTACTTAAACCCCATAGGAAATTATTACTAATTTTTAAGCACATGGGAGTACTATTGTGGGGATCCGGGTGACAATTTCATTGGATTTCCCAGACACGGAGCAAAAGAGTTAGCCCATTCGGAAAGAATCTTTGTCACCGAAGTTCTGAACGCCCCATTCTCCCCCCCCCCGCCTCCTCCTTTTCCTTGTTCACAATAAATCTTCTTCCTTCCAGCATTCAGCACTCAAGTATCGTCTTTTTAGGGGAAACACGATTGTCTAGCTCTTCTTTTGATCGATTATTTATTTGGACGGGCAAGATCAAGACTATGTGAGATAGGAAAGTATTTGTCAGTAGAATGCTGTCCAAGACTTCTCCAATCAGGATGAAGTATGGCTTTTGTTTTAAGGAATTCGATGTGAATATTAATTTCAAATGGCAGGCTTCTTGATAGCTATCATTAGCCATTTAGCTGACTTCGAGCTCTCCTAGAGGGAAGGTTCATCAAAGTAGAAGAAAGTCGAGGGGATGGGGGGGGGGACAGAAGAGCGCGATTCGCAGTTGCAAAAGAGTGGTCTTCGCTTACATTCTGTAACGGCAACGCATCTTATGGAGTTCTGGTAACTTTACCTGTTTAGTTATCCTCTACTTGTTGTGGTAAAACATAAGATTGTGGAGTACCTTGTAAGGGCATTCGCCTTCTCAGCCTTTTGTAGAACTGTTGAATTGAATCAGCAAAATTGATTCGTCTTGGTTAAATAATACCGGTTAGAAGGCACGCGTTTTCGTAGGCTAGCATTGTATTCAATACATGTGGACAAATCTTGAAGTTTGAATTTTGAAATGTGTGTCCAGCTCACACCAAGGCCAAAAGAAGTGCGTCTCTCTGATATTCGATTTGTGGAACTTTGGTTAGTGTAGTATTGTAGATAATAATGGATTCGACAGAATTCGGAGTTAAGGCTACGTTCATTGAGGTCAATTTCTGTTAGCCAAAGGCACCGTTGAATGCTGGAGGAGTGTCTTATTGATTAGCAAATCGAGACCTTTACAAATGTGAAGGACGAGCGTGTGGACTATCTGATGAAGAACAGCAGGGGCGGGGGGCTCGTTGTATCTTCTGAATTTGTTGGTATTACGTTAATACCATCCCAATATAAGGTGATATTGGAATTTGTGAAATCCTTCGGAACAGCCTAAAACAGCCCTTAATTGGAGGGGGGACCTAGTTTCACTCAAAAGGTGACCTCTCAGAGCGCGATAAAATCTAATTAGTCTGTAATGCTTCCTCAGACTTCTGATTACAAGATCACTTTATCCACATACAGCCATTATAAGCAGGTGCTTTTTTCATTGCATGCTGATTGAACAAAGATGTATGTATGTATGATAGTATTTATATTTTTGTGAGCTTAAGATGGCGGAAATCGTTCTAATTCATCATCATCATCGTCGTCGTCGTAGTTGTGCCTATCTGCGCATTTTCAATTTGCGCCTACCAGATGTGATATCGAACCTAGAGGAGGAGGAAGTCCTGTAACAAGTTCAATATGGGCAGTATTTTGGGCGCGATCATGTGTTCAGATGTTTATGTTTTTGTACACGGGACGTATATGTGTTGGAGAGATTCACCTAAGTCGTAGATAGTCTTGAACATGTGACCTCAGTCACCTATTCCTTCTTCGCCTCTGCCTTGGAGGGGGGGGGGGGGGGGGGAGGGCAGTTTAATTACTTCCCACTTCATATTGAATTCTAGTCTAATGGAAAGCAATATGCGCATTTTTTTAAATTCCCATTAGTATGCGAAATTTTTTTAATATTAAATGGCAGGCGTTTTGATAGTTATCATTAGCCCTGGAGCTGACTTTGGGGTTT